GGGAGCATAGTGGTTTATCTCTGAGTTCTCCTCGACTGCCTTTATGCTGTTCTAAATAGTGTGACAGTGACCCTATGGGCTTCAAAGGCCAAAATAGTTACTTTCTGGTCCTCACAAAAAAACAGGCCCTTCCCTGAGCTTTCCCTACATTTCACATTATTGTCAGTCCCCTCTTACTTCGTATTGGTTTGTAAAAGATGTGGAAGTGCCAACACCACATCATTCCTTTTCACCTCACTGGACAGCTTAGAATTGTGTGGTGCAGTACTGAGGAACGCCTTCAGGGAGGGGTGAGTGGGATAGGGCTGCAGGAAAGACCTTGTGAACCTAGGTCAAACACATTCATTCCTCCTAGAAGTCTACAGTGTGGAGCATCTTCATTAGAAAGAAAGGGGCCTGCCAGCATCAGGCTTCTAGAATGAAGATGTTTTCTTGACCAAGAGCCAAAAAACCATTATCGGTGCCAGGGCCTGTTGTCACTCACCTTTAATCCTAGCACTCAGGGGGGAGAGACAGGCAGATCTCTGTGAGTTCCAGGCCAACCAGGGCTACATAGTGAGGAGCCCCCTGCCCCACCACCATTCACAACCACACATTCCCACATTCTTCTCCATGTTCAGCTTTTTTCAGCATTTTGGTTATTAGGAGTTAAATGGCTCATCTATACTTGGGGAAACTGAGGATAAGACAAACACTAATTTAACACTAGAAACGAAACCGAGTAGAGATAGAAACACATTTCTTGTATTCGATGGCCTGCTCCTTTAATGTTTTTGAAGATGAACCTGATGGCACCACTGAGAATTTTTCCCATTTTTTAAAAAAAACGGATTTCCAGCTCTGTTACAGCCTTTTGAAGGCTTTCAATTTCCTGACTTGGAAACATCTGAACAGGACAGGAAAAATGCCTTGATTTTTATTTATTTATTTTTTTTACCCTTGCCCCTTTGAAAGAAGTAAAAGAAGGAGTCCAGGAAAAGCTTGAGGCGGGCAAAAAGGGAAATCTCTGAAACTAGAGAAAACTCCAGCAAATCATGGCCAGCAGAATCAGCATTCCTCACCCACAGTTGGTCCTCATTAAGGAGACTCCCGTTGAACAGCTCAACTTTCTGCTTTGCATTCTGTGCTCTGGGCCCGCTAGCTGACATGGCAAAGCCTTAACCTCCATCTCGGAAACAGTCTCTCATGTCTTCCCCTATATTCTCACTTCCCTGTCTGTCCCCTGCTACCCTACAATTACCCTCTGCCACAGGAAAATCCCAATAAAATATATTGATACCGCTAATCGAGTTACAGCCATTTTGTTCCACAAAGGGCCATCTATGCTGTTTGCAGGGGTGAAGAGGTGCATTGAGTCTTTTGGGGAACACTCACAGAACCTGGGCTTGTCAGAGGGATGGAATTTCCATGGAATTATTTGGTGTGGAGTCAAAGCAGTGACGATAATTCCTTCCACTTCAGCTTGATTCCTTGGCTCTCCCAGACCTTCAGGTCTACACATAAACGACAGGATTACTTTCGGATGTTTTTTTTTTTTTTTTTTTTTTTCCAGATGTAGAGACATGATTAAAGACCCAGTCTTGGGCCCTGGAGATGCTTATCAGGTGAAAAGGGCACTTGCCACCAAGCATGAGGACTTTAGTTCCATCCCGGGGACATACATGGTAAAAGGAGAGAACCCTCTCCTGATCTCGTCCTCTGACCGTCAGACTCACACTCACACACACACACACACCCATGAATGAGCACACACATGCATGTACAAATAAACAAACAAATAAATGTAAACCTCTTATTTGTAAAAAGCCCTAAAATTAGCTAAGCATGATGGTTGATGCAGGAGGATGACTGTCAGTTCCAGGTCAGGCTTAGCTACATAGTGAATTCCAGACCAGCCTGGATTACAGAGCAAGATCTTTTCTCAATAAATAAGTAAATGTCTGGTATAGAAAAGGCTCTGGGTTGAAAACTAGCCTGAATCAAGGAAGCAGTCCCTTCCCACTGTAGCACATGGGGTAGGAATGTGGACACAGATATGTTCATTTTCATCACTTACTGGTTGTGGTACACCGCTTAGGCTGCCATGGTAAGATAATACAGACCAGGGCGCTTAAACAACAAAAACTTATCTTCTCACAGTTCCATAAGTTCCCGGCCAGGGTGCTGCCAGAGTTGGTTTCTGGTGAAGCCACTCTTTCTGTCTTATAGACAGCTGCCTCTCCACGGAAAGAAGGCTTTTCCTCAACAGGGTATCAGCCCTGTGGGATTAGAGCCCCGCCCTGTGACCTCATCCCGGTCTCTAAATACTAGTCAATATATTAATGGGGGAACAAAGCAAAGTGTTCTAAACTCAAGGTTTTTCCTTGAGGGTTAAAAATAAGGCAAGTACCAGTTGGTATATCAAGAAGACAGTAATAAGAAGGTGTGATGGCAGACACCTTTAATCCCAGCACTCAGGAGGCAGAGACAGGCAGATCTCTACGAGTTTGAGGCCACCCAAGGCTACATAATAAGACTCTGACAATAAATGAATGGATGGATGGATGGATGGATGGATGGATGGATGGATGGATGGAAGAAACAAAATAGAAATTTAAAAATGCAATGAGTAAGGGAGAGGGTTATGGAGGCAAGATGAGAATTTTAAAGAAAAGTTTCTGGGTCATAGATGCACCTAGAATCTTGAAAATATGATTGGGTACCAGAACCTTGAACTTGGGCACAGAAGTCTGTAGCTTCAGTAAGGGCACCTGGCTCTTATGCCACCAGTAATTGCTGGCATCCTAGTAAAGCCTTGTATTGCCACTCGTGTGGTGGCACCTGTCCAGAACAGACGTCCAAGTTCAGTTCTCCGTAGGACTGGACACCTAGTGATCCTAATGCCACCATGTAAGTGTTTCGAAGAACTTTTAGGAAAGAGGGTGGCCTACGGCACGTCAGAGCTCCAGCAAGGAAGACTTGACATTAACACACGCTGGGACCAGGCAGACAGATGTTTCCTGGCTTTTTTGTTACATCATCAGAAAGAGCAGCAGAAGTGCCCTGATACGCACAAGAGTGGCTTTTTACACTCTTGGTGGTGTACTAGTTCTGTGTTTATTTACATCAGCTCTCTTTCAAAATGCCTTGGGGGACCTTGGCAGTCACTTTAGAAATTATGGCTGAGCGACTTAAAAAGGCAACAGTGGAAACCTGTGATTTCAGAATTGAACAGAATGGCTGAGGAGTAGAACATGGGGTGTAGTGGGGGCAGAGTAGGACACAGGGATGGGAGGGGGAATACTTGTCTTGACTTTTCTTTCAGCTGCTTTTGATCTCAGAAATATTCCCAAGTTCTGTAGAATTAACCTTTTAATTTTCCCAGTTGGGTCTAGGTCAAAATTGGTTTCTAAATATGGCAGCAGGTACCCTCAAGCGGTGACCTCCAGGGCTATGGTGCCTTCTTTCTCTGCTTCTGTATTTAATGTCTTGTAACACATCAGTAGGATCTGATTCTGGCTTCAGGGATCCCTAATCCATCGTCCATTGTGAATTACTGCTGAGCCTCTGAGAGCTGAGATAATTAACCAGACAGTTATGTTACTCAAGCTGGACTTAGGGAAGTGAATGTGACATGTCCCTGGCTGGTGGTGCTGTTTGGGAAGATGGCAGAACCTTCAGGAAGGAGCTCACTGGAGGGAAAGGGATCTCACTGGAGGTGGTTGGTGAGGCATCAGGGCCTGGCCCCACTTTCTGTCCTTTCTCTCTGCTCCCTGAGTGAGGACACAGTGTGACCACCGGCTTCCTCCTGCCAGGCCGTCCCCTCATGATGAACTCTAAAGCAAAATAAACCCTTTCTCCCTTAAGTTGCTTTGGCCAGGGTATTTTGTCAGCGGTGAGAAAGTCATTAAGACAGGAAGTGTCTTTAGTTACTAAAGTATCTTTAGTTACTAACACTATTAGTTTTCTCAAAAGATTGGAGTGATATGCACTTACTGCTAATATATCATGAAGGCCAACTTAATTCTAATTGCATAATTCTCTAAGTTCAGAGCCCCCCCACTTGCATAATTCTCTAAGTTCAGAGCCCCCTCCACCGTGGTGATCTTTACCTTTGCTTAAAACTTCACATAACTCTCAGCTCAAAAAACCTTTGCAGTCCCTCTCACTATCACTGTGCAACCGTCCTTTCGTCCCATTGTCTGCCTTTGTTGGCTGGCTCAGCCCGGCTTGCTGCAGTCTCTGCCAAACCACAGACATGTAACAGCACACTCTACTCCCCCTGCACTCGGAGTCCTGAGTCCACATGGGGGTGAGAAGCAAGGGAGATTACTGACTTAAGAATTTCTCTAGATGGTCTTCGTACATCTTCAAAGCTGAGCACCACACAGTTGCACGTTTTATCCTGTTTCTTCCACCACTGCCGTCACCCCACCCCCCACCCTCCCCCCACTTTCTTTTTCTCTAGACGGAGCCTCACTGAGGAACACAGGCTAGCCCCAGGTCTTGCTGTTCTCCTGCCTCAGCCTCCTGAGTACTGGGATGACAGGCATGTGCTGCCACTCACAGCCCTATTGCCGCTCTTAAAAACACTCTTAACCCTTTTTAACCTCTTGAATACTCTCTGAAGACTGTGGCTGTTAACTCAATGTGTGCAGTAATAATTCTACCACATTTGGTGCCAATGAGAAGAAGGATAAATGAAGTCCAGCCACATGCTGTAGCCTTTCAGGTCATGGTGACTGCTACAGCAGTTAATGAATTTCAGCCTCTCAAAGCTGGCATCGATTGCTTTGACCTACAGCCTCCTATTTAGGGCAGAGCTTTCCAATACAAATGAAATGCAAGCCCTGTATATCATTTTAAACTTTCTGGTAGAGACAGTTATTTTAAAGTGAAGCAGGGGAAATTAATAATGTCTTGTTTAACCCAGTACATCTAAAATATAAAAGTTATTAATAAAGATGTTTTTCCCATTCTTTTCCTCCTCCTAAAACTTTGCAATCTCAGCTTGAACTTACCACAATTCCAGGTAGTCTGTGGTGACAGTGTCAGCACGGATCTGGATCGCCACTCTGCTAAAAAAGAAGAATGTTTAAAACAATTCAACAAGCTGTGCAGCCAGCTCCCGTCACCATGGACAGGGCCCAGTCACCGTGATGGACTGTGTGCTTTTAAACCTAGAGCCAAAATAAATCAAAGTGGGAGGGAGACGATTGAGAATGAACAGGAAGTCTATTTGCTGTAGCAATCCAGGTCCGCATGACCCTGAGTCACCCTTTGGGGAGCGTGGAATCCCACCTCCCTGAAGACTGTACAGAAGACAAGTGAACAGTGAAAGAGCTTTGAAATCCTGGCTGAATTAAGAGTCTCAGATATGCTCCTTTGTTCAGCCGCATCAACCGAGGTCTAGCCTGAGTTATTTATTTCTGTCATTTATTAGTTAGTTATTTCTGTCATTTGAGATTTCCTAACTTTCTGTCTTCCTAACCAGAGTTTATAACATACTGCTAGATTTTTAAAGCAAATGAGTGCTAACATAAGGACCAGACATGAAAATAAACATTTAATGTTGAATTATTTTTACCTCACAAGAAGCTTTATATGATTGGATCTGTTTTCCCATCTGTTTATGACAGGTATCTTTTTTGTTCTTCTGATTTTCTAAAGATTTATTTTTATTTATGCTTATTACTGTTTTGTTTTATTACTGTTTTATGCCTGATGTATGCAGTGCACAAAGAGGCTGGAAGAAGGCGTCAGATCCTCTAGAGTTGGAGTTTCAGGTGGTTGTGAGCTGCCATGTGGGTGCTGGGAATTGAACCTGGGTCCTCAGAAGACCAGCCAGCGCTTTTAACCATTGAGCCATCTCTTATTCTTCTAATTTTTTGAGACAGGGTCTCACTTTGCAGCCTAGGTTGGACCACAGTTCACCACAGTCCTCCTATCTTTGCTTCCTAAATGCTGGGATTAAATACTAGTGACTTGTCTTGTTGCTATGACAAAATGCCTGATGCAAGCAGCGTAAAGAAGGACAGATTTGTTTTTGGCTCACAGTTCAAGAGTGTAGTTCATCCAGATGAGGAAGTTGAGGAGGCAAAACTTTGAGGTAGCTGGGCACACCATGTCTGCAGTCAGAAAGCAAGTTTAAAGAATACTGGTGCTCAACTCATTTTTATACAGTCCACTTTGGTTAACCTAATCTAGACAGCCCCTCACAGACATGCCCACAGACTGCTTTAATCTAATGATAACCCTTCATCCCCAGAGGCTAGTCTCCTAAGTAATTCTAGAGCTTGACAAGTTGTCAATATTAAACATCACAGATGACAGGCCAGTTGAGCCTGGCCTGGCCTGGAAAAAAAAAAAAAAAAAACTTAAAGAAAAAAGTTTACATTTATTTATTTATGTGTGTGTAAGCACATACATAGAGGTCAGAAGGAAACTTGTGGTAGTTCATTCTACCATGAGAGTCCCAGCTTTGTAGACCAGGGTGGTCGTGAACTCACAGAGATCCCCCTGCCTCTGCCTCCCTGAGTGCTGGGATTACAGGCATGTGCCGTCTTGCCCAGCTCAGCAAGCGTATTCTTGAAGTAGCAGAAAGAAATCTGTACCTTAACTCTAACTTGATGTAGTTATAAGAAAGTTATGGAAAATTTCAAGACCAGAGGAAGTACCAGTAGACATGCTCACAAAGCTCAGCCCCCGTTCTAGCTCGTAAGGTTAGCCACCTTGGGAGGACAAATCAATTTTTAGTCTAAGCATTTAACTTTACCCAGGACCACATAGAGCTTTATAAACTTCTGTTTCCCTTAAAGTATTGAGAATAGTTTGACTTTTAGGGGCAGATATGAAATATTCCCCCTCACTACACAACCATCCAGTGGCAGCCATCTATAAAACACATGCATTATGAAAGTGCTGCTGCTTAGTGGATCCACAGACACTCTGGCCTTGGGGGAGCTAGAGCCAGGCTCATGACATTTGCCACCTGCTCAGCTTGACTAGAGGATGCTCTGATTCCTTTCTTATCGTTGCCTGTTTAACCATAACCCCGATGGCCCTTCATCCTCCCAGCGAACAAGGCTCATCGCTACTGCGTGATCTTTCACCCTCCTGCCCCTCTGAAGTAGGTTCATTTGATAGAATATAGTGCTACCTTGTTGGAGACTCAGAAGCCTTCTGACTCCAGCTCTGGCTTTTCACGATTGTTGGCTGATTTGCTTCCCCGAAGTTGGGCACATTGGGAAGTCAAACTACTTTCAGCAATCCTGAGTCTGTTTACCGTCTGGATGGCAGTGACAGCTTTTCTCTGTCCTAGATGATAAAGCAGGAAGTTCAAAGTATCTCCAGAATATATCATGGTAGACTTCCAAGTCGCTACCTTTCCTAACAATAATTCCAAAGAAGAAAACAAAATGGGGGAAGGGGCGTTTAAACTTACATACTATAGTATAGATATTTCACTACCATCAGAGAAGACAGTAAGGTTCCATATGTCCAGCTCTTACCCATTACTCAGTAGTTTGAGAAGCTGGGTTAGTGATCCCCAGGCATATATATTCTGGACAGAAGAACCAGTTCAGTGTTCAAGTGTGGCTTCTGAGAACCTCACTGTGACACAAAAGCAATAATTTTCCTGTGCAGTCACAAGCTAGTCCACCCTTCAGTTAGTGAGACAACACCCTTGGCCCTCTGGCTGCCCAAAGGCCTCCTTGGCCATTCTAGTTTCATGGTTTACTTGGGCCCAATATGTGGGGAGCAGACAGTATGAGGGAAGTCTGGGAGGGGTGACCAATCCTAGCCAAGAGCTATGTGAATGTTGGTGTTTTTCCCAGACGGGAGGAGAATTCCCTGCCCATGTATCACCACGTGTGTGCACAGATACAAGCAGAGCAGTGTTTGGTTGAGCTGGCTTCTTCACAGTCCTTCTTTTCATCCTACAGCAGAGATGGGGTGCACCGAAGTGTTCCTTAGACTGGGGTGTCAGTGCAAGGAAGTGGGCAAGAAAACAAGAAGGGTCATCAGTTTCCATGACTGCAGCCTGGATGAAGGGTTCTATTTATTCTAAGGGCAGTCGGGGGAATTTAGTAAAAGGGATGATAGAGTGTCACAGTACATGGCACTCTTACCTTACTGGAGTACACTGGATAAGCAGTAAACATTGTAACATACAACAATTTTTTTCACTTATTTGTTTTGTGTTAAGTATGAATATGAGAGAGACAGGGAGGTGAGGGGGGAGTGAGAGCACCTCCCATCACATGGGTAGAGGAAAGGTCAGAGGGCAACTTTGGAGGAGTTAGTTCTCCCCTTCCACCTTGTTCAGACAGAGTTTCTCATCGGTTTTGCTATGAAAATCCCCAGGCTACCTGGCCCACATACGTGGTTTTCCTGTCTTCATCTCTGTCTTGCCTTAGCTGATCTGGGATTACAGATGGACGCCACCAAATCCAGTATTTTATATGGGTTCTGGGAACTAAACTCAGGTCCTCAGGCTTATATAGCCAGCACTTTTACCCATTTAGCCATTTTCCTTGACCAACTATTCTAGTTGAACTAAGTTCCAGAAAAAGAGAGGAATGCATGGGTGTATTATCCTAGTATGGTAGTAGGGAGCACAGATCCACCACAGATGAAGATAAGAAGAGAATAGCTGAATTCCACACAAAATAAAATGTTGTATGGGCTAACTATAGAAGCCTAATCAGAGAGATGGGTACCCACTCCTAATTCTTCCTTGGGAGGCCTTCCCTAAGTACACTGTAGCAGTGACTGAAGACTGAAGGTGAAAGGTTGAGAAACACCTAACACGGATGCAACATACACAGGGCCTTCGTGGAGTACAAAGCATAAGCACAGTACAGCAAAATCTGAGAGCAGGACAGGAGAGTAGAGAAAGATCCTCCAAAGCACCAGGACCCTTTGCTAAGTGTATAGAAGGGTCCCACCAAGTAGGACAGAAAGCTGGTGCCTGGTGGTTGGTTATATGGCATAGAGCACTCTGGAGTCTCACTGTGCTCAGAGCAAAGACCTGCTGAAAGGACCATCTTTGCCCCTACATTGGAGAATGGACTGACAAAATCTACAAGAAAGCCCAGACCCAGGTGTTCTATAGGGTAGACGGAGCCTGTTCTCAACTACTCAACTGTGATCCCTTTTCAGATATTCATTCCACCACATAATTAAAAGGATAAAAAAACAAAACCACAAGACTCAAAAAGAAGCAGAAACACATGACTAAGGAGGAAAATAGTCAGTAGAAGCAGACCTGCGGATGATCAAAATATCAGGACTAGTCAGTGAGAGGTACAATGCACTCTGTAAATATGTTTAAGGCCCTAGTAAAGGTTAATTATGTTCTTGGAAAGAGAATGAATTTTAACAGTTAGCTGGAACTTCTAAGACAACATTTATAAAGCAACCCCCCCCCAGTACAGATTATTTGGAAACAAGTTAATAGTCATGTTTGTAGCAATCCCAAAGTCATCACCCTTTCCTTGAGGTTTTTACATTTCTACTTTTGTATAAGCCAGGATCCCATATAAGTAAGGTCTCAGTCCCAGCCCTCAGAGAAATTTATTCCAATGAAGAGAGGTATTCTCCAGGCAGAATATTCTGATGGAGAAAGAGATAAATCAGGAGAAAGAGGGTGAGATTTCTTCTGGCAAGGAGGATCATGAGAAGCCTCTGGAAGACATGGCATTTGATCTTAGTCTTAGCCTTAAAGAAAGGCCAGATGTCCATGTGAGATGGACAGAGCTTATGTCCACTAATGTGAAAACTCTGGGACAATGCCTGGACTCCAGAATCTTCATCAGCACCCAAATAATTGCACAGCGGGAAAAAACTAGGTTCCCCTGTAAGGCCTGTTTCCAGAGATCAAGTGAGATAGCTGGTCATCTAATAGGAGTCTTAGGGGAAAGAAAAGTATAGTGGAAATAGAAAGGGAAGGGAATAGACATTATGTCAATATTTTAACTTGGCATATCATATTTCTAGGTTTTGTGGCAGAAATGAATCCCTCTGTTCTTTATGTTTCCCTGTGTGTAATGGCTTTTTGGTGTTTTTTTTTAAAAATATTTATTTATTTTTATTATGTATACAATGTTCTGTCTGCATGTACACCTGAATGCCAGAAGAGGCACCAGATTTCATTATAGATTGTTGTAAGCCACCATGTGGTTGCTGGGATTTGAATTCAAGACCTCTGGAAGAACAAGCAGTGCTCTTAACCTCTGAGCCATCTCTCCAGCCCCTTTTTGGTGTTTTTGAGACAAGGTCTTTCTATGTGGCCCTGTCTGTCTTGGAACTCACTTATGTAGACCAGGCTGGCCTCTAACTCACAGAGATCTGCCTGTCTCTGCCTCCTGAGTGCTGGGATTAAAAACGTGTGCCACCACTGCCCTGCTGTCCCTGTGTCTTATAAATAAAAGGAGCCCAGTGAATTTAACACAACAAAAAGTTAATAAGGTCTTAAAACCTATCAGTCAGTCTGATTCTGATTTCTGTGCTCTGAATCACTGTACTACATTCATGATGGCTCAGGGTTTACTGATCAGTGGGCTGTGGAGTTTTGACTTCACCATTAGTAGGAGGAGCTAATGATGGTTTGCTGAGCACTGCATACCATGGAGATTAGGCTTCTGATAGGATGTGGCGTGGGTGAGGGGAGGATCAGTAAAGTGGGATCACTAAGAAGGCAGAACTGGGTCAAGTGAGAAGTTGGAGCCCTGGACCAAAGCAAGGACAAGGGAAAGGCTTGGGAGAGACAGATGTGAGAGCAGGAAGTAAACAAACAGAGTTTGTTGTTGTTTGTTTTGTTTTTATGAGAAGTGTAAAACAAGAAACACTGACGATATAAGTATTTGATATAGCAGTGGGGAGGGGGAGAGGTAGTTTTAGTGGAAGCAAGAATGAGGAGTGTTCATTTAGGAAGAAGGATTGGGAGTTAGAAGAGTGAACAAACGAGAAGTATCCTATAGAGGAAAATATTTACTTTACCTCTCATAACTTCCACCAGCACTCAAGAAATTTGCATTCCCTGCCAAGCTCTTCATTTTTCATTGTCCCGTTTGTATTCTACCTAATCCTTCATGCGGTTCAGAGTTGTTCCCTCTTCTGTTCTGGAAGTAGATAAAAGTGATGTGTTGTGATCTTTAGCAGCTCTCCCGGAATCAAAGTTTTACACTGTTTCCCGTCTGCATCAGTTGTCTAGTGGAGGTAGTTGTTGGGTTTATGAAAAGATTAGATTATAAATGAGTATTAAAATCTCTGCTGTTTTTATGTCCTGATGGATTTACTTCTAGATTATTGCTGCCCAGTTCTCTGGTCCTCACCTGAGATCTGCTTGAGAAGCAAAAGGAAGGAGTAATAGGAGGACCAAACAGCATTCAGTACTGTACATGAAGAACTGTAGAGTCTGTCTCTTTCAGCTAAAAAATAGAGAGAGATAAAATAGGAGGGAGACAGCAAAGAGCTTCGAGTGAGCACAGGCATTCTGTGTGCTAGGCAACAGATGCAGTAGCTCTCATGATCTGGGTTCTGTGCTCCTCTGTATTCTTCGGGGCCAGATGTCCATGGCCTCTCTTTCTCCCTGCTCTCTTGAGTGGCCGCTGTTTACTGTGTGGTCCTCTGAGTCATTTGCTGATAAACTGGGGAAACTCTTCCACCTTAAGCAGTCTTATGTTTCAGGACAGACAGGGTCAATCCAGCCACTTTTCTCCTATAGCTCTTAGTTGGGAAAAAAAAAATCTTCTAGATGGTTCTTTTTGTTTTTGTCTGATTGGATTATGAAATTTAAATCTACTGTGTCTTCAGTGACTCAAAAGCTGTCCACTGGGGTATATCATCTCCTCACCCCCCAAAAAACAAGCTCTGTTAAATGTCATTTGGGACTATTTTGTTACTGATCATTTGGTATATCTTATAACTCCCACAAGAGTAAAATGATAATAAAGACTTTTTCTTTAGTCATAAAATCATAAATACAAAGAATAAGAGAAGCTGGGTGGTGGTGGTACCATGCCTTTAATCTTAGCTGCTTGAAATGCAGAGTCAGGTGGATCTCTGGGTTCAAGGCCAGCCTGGACTACAGAGTGAGTTCCAGGACAGCCAAGGCGAAACTCTATCTCAAAAAACCACAGAGAGAGAGACAGAGAGAGACAGAGAAGAATCACATGTCTATCATAACACCAGCACTCAGGAAACTAAGGAACACCAGAGTCGGAGGCCAGAGTGGGCTACACATCAAGACCCTCTCTAGAGCTGGCCAGGTTAAGAAGCTTGATGCCAAGCCTGACAGCCTGAGTTCAATCCCCGGAACCCACATGGTGGAAGAAGAAAACCAAATACACACATACGCCTGACTTCTACACATTAGCTGTGACATGTAACATATGCCTCCCCTCCTAACACACACACACACACACACACACACACACACACACACATACACACAGATTCCTGACACAAGTCAGCACAGCGTTTGAACCAAAACTACTAGACAATGAGTGAAACTTTGCATGGGGAATGTCGATACCTCCTCACTGCTTCTTTGACTCCATGTTCAGAAAGGCAGACTTTGACCCTTCAGGCTAGAGTTTGGAAGATTCAGCTCTAGAAGATCTGGCCAGCCCATGAGAAAAATGCTTAAGTGGCCCAGTCCAGTCATTCCTACTGTCCTAAAGCCATAGGTGGCACAGAGCTTCTAAACAATAGATAGTGTCCCTGTCTTGCACAGAAAGTCATACATCATCAGACACCTGAGAAAGTCTAAAAGAATCCCATCAGTTATATCTTATCACTATCCTCTTCTCCTAGCCCTCCTTGCCCACCCTGAATCCAGCCTGAGACAGGGGCTCACTATGTAGCGCCAGGGGATGACCAGTGTAAATAGAACAAAATCCTATGGTATGAGAATCTGAGAGAAGATTGTAAACTTCCCTTCCAAGTAGGTGAATGAGCTCTCAGAATGTCTTTGAGAGCTGTGGGAAAAAGAAAGATGCATTGTTTAAAAACAAACAAAACAAAACCCTTAGAAGTTAAAAATATTGCAACAGAAATTAAAGGTCTGAGAGAGGATAAGTTTCTGTTTGAAAAGTAGCACTAAAAAGAGCTTAAGGCAGCCGGGCAGTGGTGGCACACACCTTTAATCCAAGCACTCAGAAAGCAGAGGCAGGTGGATCTCTGTGAGCTTGAGGCCGGCCTGGTCTACAGAGCTAGTTCCAGGACAGCCAAGGATACACAGAAACCCTGTCTTGAACCTCCCCATCCTACGCCCTCCCAACCCCTCCCCCCAAAAAAAAGTAAAGAAAAGCTTAAGGAACTCAAGACTGTCAGCCTAGAACTTCATTATTTTTATAAAAGATGTCTAAGAGAGAACTGAAAAAAATGAAGTCATCAAAAGCAAAACTTGGGAGGTAGAGTCAAGAGGATAAAGAGTTTAAGGCCATCCTCGGCTACACAGTGAGTTAAAGGCCAGCTTAAACAACATTTGAGACTGTCTCAAGAGGAAAAAGAAAAGAGCGGCGAGATGGCTTAGTGGGTAAAAGCACTTGCCAAAAAGCCTGAAGACCTGAGCTAGGTCTCAGAACTGACAAAAAGACAAGTGTGGTGGTGGCTCACGTCTGTGACTCCATCTCTCCTAAGGCAAGATGAAAGGTGGAGACAGGAGACTCTCCCCTGGGACTAGCAAGCCTACAGAATGCAGGGTAGTAGAGGCCCCACCTCTTCACTGTAGAGAGAACCGACCCCTCCACGGGACTTTACTAACAGCCTCTTGGAAGAGGTGCTTCATTAAGTCAGTGCAGTAAAGCAAATCTGGGTGAGGAGCTCTGGCTTAGGTCCCAAGTCTGCAGTGTGGAGGTATGACCCCAAAGTGTCAGCTACCCTGCAGATGAGAACAAACATCCCTAATGGACGGGCAGAGAACATAAGTAAACACAAAACCGTTAACAGAAGTTACCTTGAAAGTGAGACTAGAAGGGCCAGAAAGGAACAATTTTTCCTTTTTCACTTCTTTTCATGGAGCATTTGACTCTTCACAAAGCATGTATTACTTTTCTAATTTTTTAAGACAAGAAATAATGCTCACTCCAGCTGCGGACCGCAATTCTTAGCCTTAGGTAATGACAGCAGAATATTTCTTTGCACAACCTGCAAATTGTTGAGAAATTTTTAACTCCTAGCTAGCCTTCCTTGGTACTTTTAGGTTTTTGTGTTTCATTGTAGGAAAGAGTTCAGCAGGAATGGCTTTGGGGATGTAAAGCCTGAACTGTCTCCTAGCAAATAAACTTTTGGGGCTGGAGAGATGGCTCAGAGGTTAAGAGCACTGGCTGCTCTTCCAGGGAACCTGGGTTCAACCCCCAGCACCCACATGGCAGCTCACAACCATCTGTCACTCCAATCCCAAGGGATCTGACACCCTCTTCAGGATTCTGTGGGTGACAGACGTACATGCCAGCAGAACACCCATACACTTAAGATAAACAAGAAAATAAATAAATTTTTAAAGAAGAAGAAACTTCCTGCTGCTGTTTGGTGTGGGTTTGTTGGCCAGCAAACGAGGGTGCATTCTGGTTCCCTGGAGTGCTGCAGTCTTCCATTTTTGCAGAGCCCTTCCTCAGAGAGCTGTCCCTGCTACAGGCTCTTGATTACCAATAATTAATCTCAGATGAAAGATTCAGTACTCCGGGCTTCCTCTGCCTCTGACCTAAGAGAACACGATGTGAATGGTTTGTTTGTTTGCCTGCCAGAGATCTTATCTGGGCGGGTAAGAGCTGATAGGATCACTGAGTCAGCATTGATCTTTCCTCAGTACCCTTTCCTGCAAAAATAAAAGGGGGCGGTGGTAGCTCAACCCCGGATAATAGTGAGACTTAATATATGGCACAGGGGTCATTCAGTAACGGCTGTATTTAATAGTGGTCAAAGCTAAATAACTCTGCAGAGTGTCCTAATCCCCATGTTTTCTCTGCTCTTTCTCAATGTATTTGGCTAAATCACTACAGAGCAACCAAGCCAAATGGACAAACCACCCACTTTCTCATTCCCAGCACATGAATTAGAGAGAAGCCAGCTGAAATCCAGGCCAGGCTCATAAATGGCTTGTATGTCTGATTTTTGTTCCATGATCTGAAACTCAAAATAAATTTAAAAAATTTTTTTCCAAATACCAGTAAATTCACACACACAAAAACAAAAAGTCTCCAGCCCTGTATGCATGCAAAGCTGATAAACAGACCTGTTCTGAACAGATATAAGGCTTAAAGATTAATTCCTAAGGCACAAACAGATACATGTAGCAAGCTTAAGGAGCTTATGGAACTCTTGCTTTTTAGAATCTCAAGCCAAAGTGAAGACTAACGATCCTTATGGGAAGGGTTCAGAATAGGAGACCTTTGAAGAAGTGTCCTCTTAGACAGATTTTGGACACACGAAAACAATGATCATTGCTGAGCCTGGGGCAGGAGGGTGGTTATCTGTCTGGGCTATATAAGTGAGTTCAAAGCTAACCTGGGCAACTTAGTAAGACTGAGTGTCAAAACTTTAAGAAAAGAAAAAGAGAAACAAAGGAAGAAAGTTACTTAGTTGGAGATATAGTTCAGTGCCAGTACACATGAGGCTGTGCATTCTATCCGTGGTAATACGCATACACACTAGTGGATATGGTCCAGTAGAAGCCTGAGCCTAGCATGCAAAGATAGAGCAAGAAGGTGGTGTATTTGCGGAGGTAGCTGCTGGTTTAGAGACTTAGAATAAACGTACTATTAAAAAAATAAAGTTTCTGTCTACAACTTGTTAAACTTAAGAATTGAACAGAGAGCCAGGTGTGGTGGTGCACGCCTCTAATCCCAGCACTCAGGGAGGCAGAGGCAGGTGGATCCCTGTGAGTTCGAGGCCAGCCTGGTCTACAAATTGAGTCCAGGAAAGCCAGGGCCACACAGACAAACCCTGTCTCAAAAAAAAAAAAAAAAAAAAAAAAATCAAGGGATAGTAAGTTGACTTTGACCAGGGTCCTGGGTCTCCAGAAACAAATGTTTAGGTACAGATGTTGGGCACATCTCTCCTCAGCATCTCACATCTGATGGATATTTTTTTTAATTAGCCATACTGACTGGTATTCAGCAGGAATCTGGCCCCTCTAGTTGGCCGTAGCACCCTAAGGTGAGCGTCTCTACCAGAAGGGTGGCTTACCTAGGGTAGAACCTGACTCCAGGGGAGCAATGAGAGGGGCCAGGGCTGAAAGTTCTAGAAAAGAGAGGTGTGGGTTGGAGAGATAACTCAGCAGTAGAGAACTTACCTTGGGAACAGAAAGCCAAAAGAACAGAAAAGTCTTTGCCTGGCCTCTGTGACCAGGTATACAAAGTTTTAGAGGCAGGGTGATGGTGATATCTTTAATCCCAACATTTAAGAGACAGACGCTGGGGGATCTCTGAGTTAGAGGCCAGTGTGGTCTACAAATCGAGTTCCAGGACAGCCAGGGCTACACAGAGAAAACCCTGTCTCAAAAAACAAACAACAAAAGTTTAGAAAGTACAGGGATGCCTAGAAAATACATCTAAAAATGAACAAAAATACAAGACTGTAAAGATGGAAGCTTTGTACCTTGAAATTGGTTTGAATAATTAAATGGGTCTAATTATGTCTTTTTAAAATGTTATTTATTGCTGTTGTGTGTGTAAATGATGTGTATAGCGTGGACTCATGCTTCACTGTGCATGTGGAGGTCAGAAGACAGCTTTACGGGGTTGGTTCTCTCCTTCCACCTTCACGCGGGTCCTGAGGATTGAACTCAGGTTTTCTAGCAGAGCAAGTGATTTACCCTTGGAGCCTTCTCAACAGCCCCTCCTTGTCTTATAACATAGCTTCCTGCTAAAGAAATGTACTCTAAATGTAACTCTGTCTCTTCCTAAGTACCAACTGCTTCTTCCTTTTATCAAAGAGTATCATCAAATTACAAGAATGTTTAAGTCACATTCTGAATTACTGGCAAACCCAGGACTAAGCCCAAACTTTCTTCATATGGAAGAATAGTGTAAAACCATTGATCATCCTTACAAAACACTGTTTCCAGCACTGGCTCCCGTCTTAACTGCTCACCTTCCTCCCCCTTGTCCTGCAGCTGGGATGAGAGCAGCTCCATCAGCAGTGGGCTCAGCGATGCCTCAGACAACCTCAGCTCAGAAGAGTTCAATGCCAGCTCCTCACTCAACTCCCTCCCGACCACTCCCACTGCGTCCCGCAGGAGCTCTACAATAGTGGTATGCGATTTTGCAAGTATCTAGGCCCCCAAGTCAGGGTGGAACACAAAACAAACTGAGCAAGATCTGTGTAGATGTTATACATGCTGTTATTGCAGCTGTATTTTGTGCTCCCGCCTCTCTAGAGTGACACATGTAATATCCAACTGGAGAAGAAAAGGTACCCTACAAATTAGATAAAGTACCCTTTCTCTGGAACCATAGGGATGGAGGGAAACTGGTTGATTTTACATGGTGGGATAATCAAGGCCCTTCAGCTCACCATTCCCCTGACCCCTGTAAGGCTTACTCTGCCTTTTCCTCTTCTCATTAGCTACGCACAGACTCAGAGAAGCGCTCCCTGGCAGAAAGTGGGTTGAACTGGTTTAGTGAATCGGAGGAGAAGGTCCCCAAAAAACTGGAGTACGATAGCGGCAGCCTGAAGATGGAACCTGGAACTTCAAAGTGGCGGAGAGAGCGACCTGAAAGTTGTGATGACTCATCCAAGGGTGGAGAGCTGAAAAAGCCCATCAGCCTGGGACATCCAGGGTCGTTGAAGAAGGGCAAAACCCCACCAGTGGCTGTCACCTCTCCCATCACTCACACAGCCCAGAGTGCCCTCAAAGTCGCAGGTGCGTTGGAATAAAGGAAGGGACAGGGCAAAGACCTTTCTTTGATGGTTTTCTTAATGATCACAAACCTATAGAATGATAGCAAACATTTGCATAGATGCTTTAACGTACAGTATCCTTTCTGACCCTTAGGACAGTCCTGTGAGTTATGAAAAATGGGTGTTATTATCTCTATTTTACAAATGTGGGAACTAACTCAGAGGGGTCAGGTGGCTGAGCTACAGTCACACTAGCTGGTAAGACAAACAGGAGGGAGAGAATGTATTCAGAGACCGTTTTTAAGTATTTAGTGTGTGTGTGTGTGTATTGCTCTGTCTTCACACACACCAGAGGAGGAAATCAGATCCCATTACAGGTGGTTGTGGCTGCTGGGAATTGAACCCAGGACCTCTGGAACAGCAGTCAGTACTCTTTAAAGCTGAGCTACCTCCCCAGCCCCCAGAAGAGATAGGTCTGACCTCCCTTCAAATGATTCCCACTGGTTTCTTTCTTTTCTTCTCCAAGGCATACTTCTTAGCATCTGAAGGAAGTTTTACTGAAGTAATATGTTAAATGGCTACAGAAAAAGAAGTGCAGCCAGGCATGGTGGCATACACCTTTAATCCCAGCACTGGAGAGGCAGAGGCAGGCAGATGTCTGAGTTTGAGGCCATCTTGGTCTACAAAGCAAGTTCCAGGACAGCCAGGACTACACAGAGAATCTGTGTCTTGAAAAACCAGAAAACTCAACAACAGAAAACAAAACAAAACAAACAAAAAGCAGAAGTGCCTTGTTCCCAGTGTTTACTCCTTGGCTTTCTTTGAGCTTTAATCAACATTTCTCTCCAGTGTCTAGACATTGCCTTGCCTGATTCACTTCATCCCCTCCTCCTTGTCCTTCCTTGACCAATTATTAGGCACACTTCCTTCTTGATCATTTTTGAGGTTGCCTCTGCCATTTTAACCAAAATAAATCATCCTACGGAAAACAATAAAAACAAACTAAATGAAAGCCCGCTTCCTCCCACAGTCCCTCTGGCAAGAAACTGTATCGGCTTACCCAGTTCCCGTTTACCCTTATTTAGACCTCTAAATGTTTATAATATATAGACAATGGTTCCTTTTCCCCTAGAGAGAAAGAAAAGTATTTTCAACATATCATGACAGCAACTGCTCCTCTGTTTCCTGCCCTCTTTCAGGCAAGCCTGAAGGCAAAGCTACAGA